AGAGTATCACAAGGAACAAGACTAGTCCAAAAAACATAAAGTTTTGCAAAATTTACAACATGTAGTTCCCAATTACCCAACTAACTGTGCAACCTGTTGATACAAAAGAATTGCCCAAACCTGCAGAAAAATAATGGGCGGCAAAGAATCTGGTGTTTTGTCCATGATTTTGTAGAGATCTCTGAGTGCCGCTGTAACTGAGTGTGCTGAGTCTGTTGGGCTTCCAAGAGTGTTGTATCTGATACATAAAAATGCCACAAGATTTATTTGCTTTTAAACAGTGGTCTAAAGGAATACAATTTCCAGTAAAGAAGCAGCATATTAAAAAATATCCAATGCATGATAAGGATCAAATTAACAAGAATGCTTGAGAAAAACTGCCATACTTTACAAGTGAATCCTTTAGTTCCGGGACATTGCGCAAACATTGCACAGTTGCATTCATGTAACAGGTGTTTCCAAGATTCTGAAGCCCAGTTGGCATTTCATACTAAAAGGAAAGAAGGAATCCAACAACAATTCAAGTAAAAGGATTATATGACAGATCTGTTTAAGTTATGGCAACATGTTCACTGAAACACAAGCAACCCAATCACTAATAAACAGGGTGTTAAAACTGGGAAATAGGATGTACTGTAAGTTGTGATAATGTAACTGTAGACACAGGCGTCCCAAACTCACAATTCGAGGAATTGATCAAATATTAATGATTTATGTAGGCGTATCGAGTGAGACATGACTGCCTTAAGTGCGCTGTGTTGTGTTACACATTGGGCCATTGGGAATTTGAGCGCTCTACAAGGCATTACAACATATGGAATTTAAAATAATGAAGGATAAAATCACGTGATCAAATAAAATGTTACTTTTTTGTAATAAAATTAAGAAAATATACTCACCTTGCCAGGTTTCTACTGACCATTTGGCCTATTTTGTCGTTTTTGGGGGGTTTTCAGGTGTTTTTCGCAGCTTTCTGTAGACAAAGTCAAGGCTGGACACTGCTGTTTCGAAAGACCTGGACCTCAAGGTTGTTTTCTTGCCGAAATTCAAATCCGCTGCTTGATTTTTCCCTCCAACGCAAAGAAGGATAGTCCATCGGTCCCCTTTTCCAGTCGGCTTGGAAAAATCTTCAAACTTTCTGCTCCAATTGGAACAATTTTTGCTTCACTACTGGAGCTTTCAACTTTACGCCACACCTTGTGACTGTCCTCCAGACTACAGCACAGCTTGAAATCAACATCAGTGACCGCTCCTGCATGAGGCATCAACATGCTCCCTTGGGGTCGTTGGGAGAGGGTTATATTTTTTAACCGAAATTTTTGACTGTGCGCCCGTCTGGTAAGTCACATTTGTCACGCGGGAGCAGTTGCTAGTGTTGATTTCAAGCTGTGCCGTAGTCTTGAGGATGGTCACAAGGTGTGGCGGAAAGTTGAAAGCTCCGGTAGTGAAGCAAAAATTGTTCAAATTGGAGTGGAAAGCTTGAAGATTTTTCTGAGCTGACCAAAAAAGGGGACCAATGGACTATCCTTCTTTGCGTTGGAGGGAAAAGTCAAGCAGCAGATTCAAATTTTGGTGAGAAAACCGTCTCATGGTCCAGGTCTTTCGAAACAGCAGTGTCCAGCCTTGACTTCGTCTATAGAAAGCTCCAACAAACACCTGAAAACCCCCCAAAAATGACGAAATAGGCCAAATGGACAACAGAAACCAGGCAAGGTGAGTATATTTTCTTCATTTTATTCTAGAAAAGTAACATTTTATTTCATTGCACAATTTTATCCTTCGTTATTTTTAATTCCATACAATTCCTTGTAGAGCGCTCAAATTCTCAATGGCTTAATGTGTAACACAACAGCGTGCACTTAAAGCAGTCACGTCTGACTCGATACGCATACATAAATCATTAATATTCGATTAGAATCATGAGTTTAGGATGCCTGTGCTGTAGATTGATCACAAAACTTCTTATGACCATCTCAACACATCATCAAGCAGATCTACACTGTAGGTAGACAGGTGAAGAGAATAAAGAAAATCATCAACTAGGAGACATTGTCATTTAGCCTGTGTGGCAGGCATCTAAAGGGAAGGGAAAGGGGAAAAAATGAGCATGCGAAGTGCAGGAGGATCGAGCGCGTAAAGTGCGGTAGGATCAAGTGCATAAAGCACGGGACGATTGAGCACACAAAGCACATGATCAAAGCGTGCTCGATCCTCCTGCACTCATTTTGACCCTTTCCCTCCCCCTTTTCCTCTCCTTCTACAGCCTGCCATGCAGGTTGTTTAATATTCTAAGAATCAAGAACTGTTTGAGATCCACTTACAGCTGAAGCTAACTGTGCTTCTGTCATGTCTTCAACAAACACAGTCTTTTGCGCAGGTGCTTGTGGCAATTCACCAACAGATCCCATCATCAGAAGGGTGATTCCCTGGGCAAAAAGTAAAGAAAAGTATCACAAAAGTACATCAGACTAAAAGAAAAGCATTATTCTGTAATTTCCTGAATGAGAATTTAAAACCTTGTGATCTAGATATTTTGGTCAAGGATCTCAGAACAATCTACATGTAGGTTATGGCTGGTTTGCAGTGTCAAGCCATCAAAAATAAAAATCAGAACCATTCAATAAATTAAGTCAAGAAGCTGGGATATGAAAGATGATTGGTATATAAACAACCTCGCCAAGATTTAGGTCTGTGCAGTTTTTCACTCTCCCGCTATTCGGAGAAGTGTTTCACACAAATTTATAGAGCTTTATATGGAGTCGCCATGTTTGTGCCCCTCGGAGGGACACAAACATGGTGGCCGTAAAATAACA